CACCGAACTTCCCCCTCTTCCCGATTTCAATTCTACTCTCCCCTCCGAACCTCTCCGTCCTCCCCCGATCCCGATCCCGATCTCGATCCACCCCCACTGTTCTCCTCATCCTCCATCCCGAGTTTCTCAGATCTCGACTCGATCCGTTTTTTTTTCTTTTCCCCATGCTGACTCCCCTTTCCCTACGTCCCAAAAAACCAAAACTGACAAACCGCGAAAAAAAATGGAAAAAATGAAAAAAAACAAAGTGAACTTAAATGAAAAAAAACAAAGCGAACTTACCTTGATCTGCCATTTTTGCCGGATACTGACGAGGGCGAACAATCACTTCTCATTTCTTCTCTGCCTCCGACAATGCACGCAATCTCTCTCTCCCCCTCCTTCGAGTCCTTGCCAACCGCCTTCTATAATATCATGTAGCTCCCTCCCTCTCTCTCTCTCTTTGTTCCCAACCACCTGAAGGTCGAACGATTGACGCTCTCTCTCTCTCTCTCTCTCTCTCTCTCTCTCTCTCTCTCTCTCTCTCTCTCTCATGGCTACCCCTCTCGTGCTGGGATCTTCGGCGCACAAACTGGCCGACGTGCGGGAGATCTCGAATACGACTGATGCAAACTGGCCGACGTGCTAACTGGCTGACGAAACAAAGATTCAAGATTCGCTCTCCACTGGTGCCGAGCGAAGAAACGAAAAAAAAAAAAAACAGTGCATTTTCCCGGTTCCCCGCACGAGATTCACGGTCCCCGAAATTCGGCAATGGGCCTCCCGGCGACAACCGTTAAGATTGTCGAGCAGCTCTGGGCTGGACGGCCTGATAGATGTTTCGGGAACCATCTGGCGCGAATCCCCGAAACCTCTATCAGGCCGTCCAACCTGCGCCTCGCCGGGCCGGCCCGCCCCAAACGCCTCATGCTTTGTCTGTCGGGCCCGCCTACCGGTCCCACCGCGTTTCCCAACATCGGAAATCATTCAATTAAAGAGTGTTAAGGGGAAAAAAAAAGCCATTTTGCAGCCCGTTTGCACCCTTTTCGCAAAACACGCAACTCTAACAGCTTGCCCCGATCCGAGTAATATAATGAATGGCACACCAGGGCGTGTGTGTGTGAGGGAGACGAGAGAGAAACTGCATCCCAGCTTGGGAAGCCATAAAGCTTTCCAGATGAAACTCATTGTGCAGGTTATGTATGTGATGGTTTTGTGAGAGACTTCTCTTCCTCCATCCACAATTCTGGTTTTTGCCCTTATAACACGTGCAAATTGGTGGAATATAATACCATGTGTGCACCACAGCAGAAAATTGGCTCCACACCTGTGTAGTAAATGCTGGTATGGGCTGAGCAGGGCTTTGCCCACAGAAGCGCTACAGAGAGCACGCCTGTGAGGGAAGATTAAGGCATATCTGTCTTTCCACACGTCACTCCGTCAATCCAGCCACTATGCAGATCTAATAGAGTTCAGCGGTCCGTCGGAGCTACCTGTCTATCGTGCCCTGCCCATGAATGACCCATCAAGACTTTCCACCTGTGCCAACCACCAAGCTTACTTGCCACTCCGTCCGAGCTGGCCTTAAGCGGACAAGAGAGCAAGAGATAGTCGTGTCGCACTTGCGATCTTTATGCCCTAACTGTACGCTTTCCTCTAATTAGATTAATAATCCAGGCCGCTCAGACTTTACCACATTTCTTCCTTCCTTCATATATATGGACTTTTTATTCCAATCCAGTTCGGCCGACCATATGGTCGCCGACTATGGATGATACTATACGTAATACCATGATCGGCTGTGTCGAGGAACTGTGCCCTTGGCAGTGGGGCTGTGTGTGCACTTGTTTGGGTCCAGACGAAAGAATTAAGATTTGTGGTTAGATGGGCCATAACCGCAAAGCCAGACGCCTGCTACACCCCAAAGCTTTTCATCTTTTGTAGGATCCTCCCTGTTTTTGTCATGGATGTGCATTTTAACTGGTTGAAGTTGTTCTTAGTAGTGTATTTTCTTGGCCCCCCCACAACCATTTTTCTAACATCCCTATTGACAGGGATAGTGCCCCTTCTCAAGGAACTTATCCTCTATCCAATGTAGTTGCGTCGACCGTCCCCAGCGGGGGTCGGTATCCCCCACCCCTGATACTCCCCCGCCAACCCAGTGAAGATAACCATACATTAGCTCCTATTCTTTTCCTGTCCAAATTGTACCTCTCCTGTACTAAATTTTCATCTGCGTCCAATAGTGGAATGTCTGCTGTCAAGAGTTTATTATTTCCAACATGCTGTGAAGACCACCCCCCCACACCCACCCACATGCCCCCCATCTCCCATGCGCGCACACACACACACTCACACTCACACACACACACACACACACGCACACACACACACTCCGACCAAACAGTGGCAAAATCATGCTTTTTTTGTGGAGTTGTGTATTGCCAACATGAACACACACACACACACACACAGAGAGAGAGAGAGAGAGAGAGAGAGAGAGAGAGAGAGAGAGAGAGAGAGAGAGAGAGAGAGAGAGAGAGAGAGAGAGAGAGAGAGAGAGAGAGAGAGAGCAGGTGCAGTGCTGCGGGCTCGCACTGGAGAGTGTGTCCCCTCTGACTATTCCCCTGTGGATGCCAACCTTGACTATCAGCAACCACAGTTCTAACTCTCTCTCCAACAACAACGTTAAGGTCGATAGGACCATCCCCAGTCCATTTCATAAGCCAACCACAGATACAGCAGGCACAAATTCCTCACACCGCCAAACTTCAGCATAGAAGGAAGATGAGCATTGCAGACATGAATAGATGGAATAAGCCTTCTCTATTGTCCAGACCGTACTGAGACAGCGAAGTCACTAAGGTAGAATTTCCTGCTCTGAAGACATGATATGTGGAAAACTCTCATTGCCATCTACGTCCCGCAAACATAGCTGAACATGTGAATTCTACTTCGCAGACAATCAAAGCCACTCACTACTTCCCCTGCCGGAAACAGAAGAATTTGCCCGGCAGGGGGTGTCAGGAGAATATTAGACGACCAGAGAGGCGGAAAACAATGGAGATGTGTGGTGGTGGAAAACTGTGGAGATACGCGGTGGAAAGCTGTGAAGACGTGTGGTCAAAAGCTGTGGAAATGTGTGGTGGAAAACAATGGAGATGTGAGGCGAAAAACAATGGAGATGTGTGGTGGAAATGTGCGGTGGAAAACAATGGAGATGTGAGGCGGAAGACTGTGTAGATGTGCGGTGGAAAACAGTGCAGACATGTCATGTCAAACATGCATGCAACTAAAGACAGCCGCAACAATTGCTCAAAACTGTATCCCGAGCAGTCGAACTCTCTCGCGCATAATCATCATATACTCACCACCAGCTCTGAATTACTCTGCCATGGAGAGAGACCTTGGGAAGCTGACCAGTGGAGAGAAGACGTCCAAGCATCAAAGACCCCTCCTTTTTCTTCCTGGGGTCATGAGCAGCTATGTCCCCTCCACACATGTCTGGCCCTGTGGTCATGCACCCCTTTGCCAGTTTGATGGCCAGTTCTGGGGAGGTGGCATTGATGGGGGAGGAGGACCTTGGGAAGCTGACCAGTGGTTGGAATCATAAGGGCCTGAATTTATGGATCGCTCCGGCTCAGGAGGACCTGACTGTGGCGGTCCATAACCCTCCCAGCTCGATGCTCGTGAACTAAAGGCTTGTGGACCTGATGGCCGGTTCTCAGATACGTTCAGTGGTCCTTGACATGGACGTCCAGCTCGAGGATTCGCCCAATTTGATGGCCCTTCCTGTGATGGTAAATAGCCTGCATCTGCCCCGCTCTGGCGACTCGGCGGTAATGCATGGAAGGCCTCCCCTCCCTTGCTTGGGGGACCAGTTCTAGGGGAATGTGGGCCACCATACCCATTTGCAGGCATAGGCGATTGGCGTGGCCATACCTGCTGGTGAAAAGCCTGCTGTTTGTTTCCACTCAACAAGGCGGGGGGTGGTACATCCCGTTCATCGCGCTGCTGACGATACGGAGATCTGGGAAAGGTGGTGTCGAATTCCCCTTGCGGTGCCGACGCAGATGCTGTCCTTGGCGACGTCAAATCTTCACCTGGAGGTCTGCGTGCCGACATCGATTGCCATGAACCTGAGTTCCCGTGAACAGGGTTGGAACGGGGCTGCTGATGATGCGGTGCTGAACCTCCCTTCACGGGCCACCCATTTCTTAACTGCCCGTTGTTGCTGAAACCGTCTACCTCCGGGGTACGTGGACGATGCGAGTTTGCTATTCCTCGAGGTTGCAAGTTACCTTCCTGCCTGGCATGAAGTCGAGGCGACAACCCTGGTTGGTGAAGGGAGTGAGACTGGGCCTGTGGTGAGGGAGACTCCCACTGTCGTTTCTCCCATGGCTTCTGGAACGGCTCGCTGGCCATCACTGCAACTGCTGCAGGTGGAGGCCCTGGAGGTAGAGGTGGCTGTGGCTGAGAAGGATGTCCTGAAGCTGGGTTTTCCAGTCCGAAGGAGTGCCCATTACTACCATTCGGTGGAGGACCATGGAAAGGCTGCCGGTTTGTATCTACATATGAGCCTGGCCGTATATCACCACCTGCAGGGGTAGAAGATTCCCACTGACGTGTTTCTTGAGGCTTCTCAAACTGCTCACGGCCTCCCACAGCGGTGGGCGCAGGGCAAGGGCCCGGACCCAGAGGCGGCCATGGCTGAGATGGATGCCTGGAAGGAGTTTCGTGTTTGAAGTCCCCATTGCTAGCATCTGTGGGAATGCCCTGGGAGAGCTGTCTGTTCTTATCTGGGTATGAGCCTGGCCATACATCCCCAGCTCCACCTGCCATACTGGTAACTGGTCCCTGGTCATGCGGTGTCCATGCCCTCGAACACGGCGGTGCCTCGGCACCAGAAGGAACAGACCTGCTTGGCCACTCACGAGCGGAAGACGAAGACTGGTAACCATGGTGTCTTTTGTCTGAAGGGTACGGCGCAGAATCCATTGGCCTTGACATGACTACTGCTCCCTGCCTCTCGGGGGGAATTTTCTCGCGTTGCGGTTGTTGTTGCCACGCACGCACAGAAGGATCACATGCATCACGCTCTCCAGGGCCGTTCGGCCACTGCCGTGCACCAGAGGGAGAGGACGGACCACCATGCCGCCTCTCTTCGGTGAACGTAGCAGTCCTGGGAGCTTCTCTCCTCCACTGGGGCCCCTGGTCCTCCTGTCGACAAGGCGGCATTTGCTCCCGTTGCGCCAATGCCATCCGCTCTCGCCGAGGAGGTGGTCCTTCATCCTGCCTGTCCTGACGACGTGGTGACATCTGTCCAAACCGAGGAGGGGGTCCTTCATCCTGTGTGGAAGGCCATGGGCGTGCCTGATCTTGTCGAGGATACGGCTGGGCAGGCATGTGCGGCTTACGTGGTGGGTGCATCTGATCACGCTGCAAAGGGCGTGGTTGATCCCCCCATTGAGGAGGGGGCATTCGGTCCGGTTGAGGAGGCACCACCGAATCTGGCCGCTGGCCGGGCATGCGATCCGACTGCACAGAAGTCACCGGATCTGGTTGATGAGGCGGCACTCGATCAGGTTGGGGAGGTGGTCTCCAATCCTGTCGGGCCGGTGGGAGTTGATCCTGTTGATGATGAGGCATTTGATTGTGTGGGGGAAGAGGCCTCTTGGGACTTGGCTGCGAAGGTTGCATTGGTTGCAGTTGAGAAGCGGGCGCTCGATCTGCTCTAGGTGGCGGCGTTTGATCTCGGGAAGAAGCCCGCTGATGCACCGGCCCATTTGGAACGACAGGATTTGATGCACCCGACCACTTCCTCGGGGCAGAATAGAATGTCGAAGAAGGTTGAGCATCGTTCCTCTCTTGGACGCCCATGCCTCTCGGTGCCTCTCTGCGACTCCTCGTGTCCGACATATGCTCTCGTGGATGATGTTGATAAGCATTATGTCGTGGCTGTTCGCCAGTGAGTTTGCCTGGTTCCGACGAAGACGACGTGCGCATTTCCTTCCTCCTCTTATTAGCATCCAACCCCAGATTAGCCATTTGCTGCATTGTCTCCTGTGTGCCAGCCTGGTCAACACCACAGAAATTTTGACGACAACAGTCAGAGAGCCAATCTTCATAGCTTTTCTTTTGTTCTTTCGCTTTTCTTCTCAGCTCAATCAAAAGAGGAACACATGCATTATTTCTTCCAGCTTCAGATCTCCTTTGGCGTGACTTCAAGGAATTCAAGATTCACAACACATCTTCACATTCACCTGCATATAACATCAGAGCGACTCAGGCAATCGCTAACGCGGTCTCGGCCTCGGTAAGGCACAAAGAAATGCAACTCTACCGAATATGCCTGGTCATTTATCGTCTCCTACCAACTTCACCCGATTTACAACATCCGGTCATTGTTGCAGTATCTGGACTGAAAGTTGCCCCAAATACAGCTATAATGACCGGGCATTGTATTCAAGTACCGGCAGCGATGACAGCTTTGGCAAATCATGCATGTTATAGGATCGTATCGGTTGCACTTAAAGTTCAACACCGCACACGATTTAATAACCGACTTGTTCTCCTTATTTTTCTTTCTTTACAAAAAGGGGTCAACTGCCTTGAGATATCATCGTTGAACTGGCTGGGACAGATACCTTAGAATTGTTCTTTTTTTTTATAACAAATAGCATGTTTCATTATATAAAGAGCAAAAGGAGGCTGGGAATCCCTCCACACATCTCAACCCGGAAGACTGGGGCCATTACCCAGATTGGGCTCCTATTGCAGGGTGGTTCCTGTGCCTTCTATCTGTTCACGTGCTACTCCTGAATAAAACCGAAACTGGATTAACAACAAAAGCAACTAGCAATAAAGAAAGAAAAGTTTTATCTTACTCCCCGTTTACCCTTAGTTTTTCTCTACCCTCCTCTGTCTATCTTCTCCTTTCCCTCATTCTTTCCTCCCAATACTCGCCTTAAACCCTAAACCCTACTGTTAGTATTCCTCGTACCCTTTGCTTCGACCTTCTCATCCTCTCTGTCTCCACGAAAATACGAGGCCTGTGGGCCGGATAGTTGCTACTTTACCATTCCCTAGGATTCTGCGGTCGAATCTGTCTTTCAGATCCTGTGCTTGGTCCGGTTGCTGTCTCATCTGTCGCTGTTTTCTTTTCCACTGTGCCCAAACCTCCGTTTCCGTTAAGTTTGGGAGGACCTCCCTTGCTTCCTGTTCGTGCATCGGCCTCTTCCGTATTGTGATCTGGTGGCGTCTTTTCCAAATTGTCCATACTGTGTATTGTCTTATTGTTCTATTCTGTTCATCAGGATGCATTTGGTTTCATACTCGGATTCGAACGCGGGTCTGTAATTCGACAGTGCATGGGCGCAGGAGTTGTACCAACTGAGATAGGCCAGTTGGTTCTCCTTATTCCGTCTCAAACTGTCCCTCTGTTAAATTGGAAAAACGATATTCCGCTCTGAATCCGGTGCACGCTATTCCCTGCTAGCTCAAGGACACGCCCCACTGGTGCTATGCTCATACATGGAAAGCAGGACCCTCGCCGTAAAAGCACCCAGGTTCGAACACATTAAGCCACCAGTACCTCGCCCACACATCGGCCCCAGGCCCCTCACCACGACTTTCGGAGGCCCGGAACACGATAACGGCCACCGATGAATTTTTTCAAAGGCAGCCCGGCCCCAAAAGTTGCGGCTAAACGAGCCCCATCTCTGAAAAATAGCTGGGAAAGGTACTGGTGCCATTACGGTGGTTTAACTAGTCTAACCATGTTGAGGAATAATATATGTACCTGGATGACCTGGGTTCAACACACCAATGCAGACCATAGCCAGACAGATCAGCAAGCCCCCGCCTTCCTTTTGGGAAACCCCACATCAAGACCTTATTTATGAGCGAATCTGGGGGCACTGGACTTGAGCTTACTTCAATGAATGGCTCTGTAGGACTGCAACTGGACAGGCAGACAGTCCTGGTGCAGAGTCTGCATCAACGCATGTAGTCATCCAGATGCATTCTGACACAGTTTTTTGCACAAATAGCCCATGGACAAGAGGCACAAGTGTGGACATAAATAACAAGCACGTGACAAGATTGGGGCTGAAGAAGTGGAAATCAAAGGCGGCGGAGCAGCCTGCTTACTCGACCCCTCTAGTGTTGCCTCTGCATTGCACTGCAGCAGAGCGGGGTGCAGCCCTCAGTTTATTATTCTGCATACCATAGGTTCTTTTCAGAAAATTTTTGGATTTCCTTTTTTTTTTGGCAGGGACCTTGGCTGGCCCTTGCCCAGCCAGGCCGCCCAGGCCGCCAAGGTGGCCCACGCGGCCCGCGGCTGGTAGCCCAGATTTGGACGGAATTAAAGGGATTTGACAGTTTGACTTCTTTTTCATTATAATTTTTATCTTGAAGACAAGGAGAAATTCAGAGATGACCCTCAGCCAAAAGTTGTTTGTACAATGATTTCACACAACACATGTTTCAAATTCTTGTTTTCTTTTTCTTTTCCTTTGGTGCCGCGCCTGCTCCGCTCTTTGCTCAGGACTTGCCCTGCAGGGCTTACCCAAGCCGGAGCCGGGAGAACCCCTGAGATCCCAGCCCGCAGGAATGGTGACATCACACAAGATAGCATTCTATTGAGATTGAGCAAAGACTGCAAAACAAGGAGCAGGCCCGCTGCAAGTCAATCCTCCAACTATTTGGAGCAATCAATGCTTACCTAAACAAAAACAAAACCAAACTACGTTCAAATCAGACGCAAATAACGTAATACATTTTCGTGAATTTCTGCTATATGTTCAGGGATCCTTTGGCCATACGTGTGTATGTCGCTTTTTCGCCCGTACGGAAGGAAGCCTGTTTATGTCGCTTGCCGGGGGAATACGAACCAGATAGACGCTCCCACAAATGGACAAGGAGCCAGGGCCAAAAGGACCTGCTTATCTTCTTCTTCTTCTTCTTCTTCTTCTTCGCCGTCGTCGTCGCCGTCTTCTTCTTCTTCTTCTTCTTCTTCTTTTAATGTGGCCCGATAGACCACGGAATCACAGATCAGATATTGAAGTTAATCGAACTGATCAGAAACAGATACTACACTTGATCTTAGTTATCAAAAAAGGCCGAGAAAGGTTTTGAGGACCTGTTTATCTTACTATTAAAAATAAAAAAGAAGGGAGAAAGAGAAGATAGGAAAACTCACTTGCCAATCAGAACCTTGTCCATTTTGCTGCTGTTGCTTTCCGATAGAAGGGCCTTCCACTGCAGGGTGAGTGCCTGCTCCCCCCCGCCCACGGCCCCGCTGACGGCGTTTCGCTGTCCCACCAAGTTCTTCTCCAGCCTTCAACCCATTCCCCTGCTCTTGTTCTGAGCCATTATCGCCTTCCATGCCGTTCTTCATACGTCTGAAATCAAATAACCAACCATCCAGAATCCAGATTGATTGAACACAGAAAATTCAAAAATGTGCGCAAAGCCGCTGTCAACAGTGGGAAATTTCAAATTTGCTCATTTGCTATTCTGAGAGTTAACAAATCTTGAAAAAGAAAGACACACTCCTGAGACTTCGACCGAACAGAACGCCTGCCCGGTCATATTATAGCTGCTGTATCTAAGACTGAATGCTGCCCCAAATATATAGCGATGATAACCCAGCATTCTATGAGGGTGAAGACGGTATTGCCCCAAATGCTGGACCTTTTTACCACTACTGCATGAAAGCAAGGTCAAGCGAACACGATCTTTGAATCAACCTTTCATAACAAATGCCAAAAAGGACAGCTGAAAAAAAAAGAGAGAGGAAAGAACAGAACCAGTGGCCTCAGGTTTCTGGGGCACTGTCAAAAACTAGGGAACGCGCGAATCTCCAGGCAGTCCTACGTTCCCGGTGTGGTTGACATGGATCGTACGCCTCAAGAACCAGGTTCCCGGACGTCAAGAGACCTGGTTCGGAATCAGTTTTGCAGTTTTTGGTACCTACCTTCTCCCCTTTCTCGCTTAAGAGAGAGTGCGGCAACCGAGTGATATTCACAAACGCATCACCATTTTGGAGCATCCCAGGAAGCTCAAGAGCCATTCATAGCTTCATGTGACTATAATAGAAACATATGTAAGAGCTGGCGTAGTGCTTGATGTACCCATAACCGGAACATATGTAAGAGTTGGTGTACTGTGTAAATGCACAGAGTATTTCCATCACAAACTGGATGTTTAAACATAACGCTGATGGACTTCGTTGCCAGCAAGACAAGAATGAAAACATCTTCCAGGGACATTCTTTCTTCATGGCACACAAAGCTGCTAATCAAACAACATGTTCAGGATGAACTTATAATGCAATGGCAGGCAGTGAAAGCTAAACTGGATCAAAACTCATACCAAAAAGGACATAAAACAGGCTATCCAGCAATTCTCAAGGGATTGGCTGGGAAGTGACCAAGGGGGTAGAGTAGCTTATGTCCGTTGGGAAGGAGGCAGTCTCTCAGAATGCGAAGAGGAGGAGGATAATATGAGACGAGATTACATCATCTGCTTTAAAGACTGGGCTAAGGTGGATGTGGCAATACCACTGCGCTCCCCCTTGGACTTCCCTGACCCCTTTCCGCCTCATGGTCTAGCAATGGTGGATCTCCAGTGGTATGGACTACGGTGAGGGAGAGGTAGGCACAGCGAAGGCTGCAACCGCAGGAAGAAGGGGGCTAGATGGTCACATAGTTCGGGCGCCCAGCAGCAGGCCTGACGAGACCCCCTTCTCCTCCCTAGTTGAGTGCTCACCTTCCTGCTCAGTCAATCCCCTTTTTCGAGGGTAATCAATGCTGGCAGGTTGGAAGACAGTCAAAAACAACTCAGTGCGGTTGAAATGGTTTTTGTGTAAGGGACACTGGACCCGATTTCCAGCAGGTGTTGCTCCCCACCAATAGATGGAGCCTTCTGCTCGTACCAGCACCCCTAGCTCCTGTACGGGTAGTTCCCCCCCCCCGAAAAAAAAAAAGCTGCCTACATTACCCAATTCAGAAATTTTCAAGAAAATATATGGAGAAAAACCTATAAGTTCATTAAGGTTAATGAACTTCATACGTTTTTCTCAATAGATTTTCTTGAGAATTTCTTGAAAATTTCTGAATGACCTCTACATTTTCTCAGCCGAACCCGGGTAATGGCCCCGGTATCTCAACTTCATTACCACTTTATTCATGAGGGACGCTGGGCCCGATTCCCAGCACGTGCTGGTCCCCACGAATAGATCGGAGCTTTAATTAATTAATTAATTTTAAAAAAAAAGAATCACGAAAGGCTCCATGACTTATCCATCAAAGAGAAACTTCACGCGTGCATAATCAACTATGTTCTGGAGACTACTTGCTTAGTCAAAGACTAGCGACTTGCTTAGTCAAAGTCAACAACTTGCTCAGTCAAAGACTAACAACTTGCTCAACTTGCTTGGTCAAAGACTAGCCATATTTTATTTCTTTATTTTTTTTATTTTTTTTCCTTTTCCTTATTAGCCACATTTTCAATGGTGTTTCGGGACGGATTTGATCAAATATAGCCCTGAACCCGCCTAGAACATATGCATGTCGAACTAAAGCAGGTGGCCATTCTGACACTTGTGAATGCAGCGATTTTTTCATGGAAGGTGCAGGTCTCGACTATAGTGAACCATAGTTGCGGCGCACAAGTGGGCATGGCGGTGCGGGCCGGTGCGCACTGCTCTGTGCACTGGAATGACCTGTCTCTTATACACATCTAGATGTGTATAAGAGACATGCTCTGTGCACTGGAATGACAGCGTGTGCACGGTGCGCTGTGCGGTCCGCTGTGCGCGGTGCGTGGACTGTGGGAGGATCGCCCTGTGAGCAAAAAAAAAAAAAAAAAAAAAAAAAAAAAAGACAGGCCCCCAAGAGAGAGAGAGAGAGACAACAAAGGGTCCCCTTCGCGTCAATTCGAGGGCCCCTGCAGATACCTCGAATGGCTCCTACGATACATGTGGAGTTATTGAGGGCCACTGCTTCTACGAGAAGGATGGCCTCGTCATGTGTGGAAGAGATGGGGGCAGACCACCAATATATGCTGTGGATTCGAGTTCAGGGCTGTAGCTCGGCAGTAATGGGTCACCAATTCAGTTAGACCCTGTTCGTGTCTCCATGTGATTCTCAGGGGTTCCCTCCACCACTCACCAAATGTATATAATATTAGTAAAACGAATCTTCTGCTAAAACATGGAACCATACACCGCCATATGCTATGGCTTTTGTGCATGTGGTGAGTAGTGGAGCAGGCCCCACCGTACGTATTCGTAGGAAAACAAAAACAAAAAAAAACGAGAGAGGTACGGCCATCTTCATCCTAACCCATAACTGCCGACATGCAGACCTGAATGCCAAAAAAAAACGAGACAGGTACGGCCATCTTCAGCATATATTGGTGGTCGGCTGGCCATGGAAAATGCAACTTGTGACTTCTGCAAAGCTTCGCGGGCCAGGTCGTTATTAGGTGACTACCCCCTTCTTGCAAACTAACCCCACCGGTGTGTGGGATTCGCAGAAGGGAGCGGGAAGGCCAGTTTCGATACCCCGCCTCCCGGCTAAAAAAATAAGTTCGAATGAGCCCTAGGCTACCAGCCGGGCCGCCCGGGTCCCGGGTGGCCAGCCCGTGCAAGGACTCCCAGCAAAAAAAAAAAAAAAAAAAAAAAAAAAAAAAAAAAAAAAAAAAAAAATCCGAAAAAAAACTATGTTATGCAGAAAAATAAACTGAACAACTTTTGCCTCAGGGCACATCGAAATTCTTTACCAATTTTAAAATAAAAATAAAAGTTTCAAAATATTGTTTTTATTTTTATTTTTATTATTTTTTTTGGCCCGGCCGGGCAAGTGACCCCGGGCCACTCTGGTAGCCTAGCATTATGAGCCCTATTTTATGCTTCACCATTTTGAAACTTTTGTGGGAAGGGCCTGCAGAAATCAAAATTCGGCAGTGCTTGCCCCAAAAAAAGACTCGGGCCGGGGGCACGGCCGGTTTCCGAGCTCGCGCGGTGCGTTTAACATTTTTGCCAAGTTGGGGGCCCTAAGAAATGACAAAACCCCTACTTTTTTTTACCTTTTTTTTGGACCTAATTTTTCCAATGTGGTGCGGTTCGGTGCGCAATGCGTGGGCAAATCCGCACACTGAGGTGCGCCACAACTATGCATTGAACCCTAAACCATGAAGGTTCTATATATCAGAAGGCCTTTGCCTACATGAAACAATAAACCAGGAATGTCTCGACAAGTCAGGCCTCCAGTCTCTGGACTCTCTGTAGATTATTGTCCCGAGGTCTGAACACGTCTACACTCAATCCTTAAGCATTTAAGGTTTGGGGAATAAGGTTTTCCGCATTACGATTTTAGGGTTTAGGCCCTTCAGGGTTTAGGGTTTTAGTAACTTTTTTTATGGTTTAGAGTCTTCAGACCGCAAGATCGAAAAGTGGTGTGGCAGCAAACGTCTGCAGAGACTGGGTCAAATCACTCACTGGACCCCTCCAACACTGCAGTACGGACGAACCTTGGAACCGTAGTATGGAGAGACTGGAGATATTGGTACCATAATCTGCAAAGACTGGGTCCCTCCAACAATGTCGGATGGTCCAGGGGTCCGCACGAACCTTGGGACAATAGTCCGCAGAGACTGGTGTTGGCTTGGTGTTGGTCTGCACAATATCTCATATGGGACCATTCACCATATGGGACCACAAGATCTCATTTGGGACCATCCAGCACATGGGACCACAAGAAATCATACGGGACCATTCAAAAGTACAACCCTCCTCCCTCCATATCAGATCTTGTGGAGACGAACACCAACACTTTCCAAACAATTTATGAACATTATATTGATTATAATATAATTCATAAGTAACACCCCATATGAGATCGATCTTGTGCAGACCACTACCAATACTTTCCGAGCACATTAAAGAGCATAGTAGCAATACTCACTCCCCCCTCCCACCCCCCCTTTATGACCGCATCTGCACTTTTCAACCCGTGCAAGCCATTCGAGCCCAGTGCAGATATATGATAGATAAATAGGTACGAATCAGATCTTGAACAACATTCACAGAACAAATCTCTGTTTGTCGAGCCAATTGTCTGATTCTGACCAGATGTGGATGGCCCTATGACACCTGACTATACTAAATAAAACAACTTTTGATTTACAAACGAAGACCTGTTTTCCAGCAGGTTCTGCTTCCCACCAATAGATGGAGCCCTCAAAAAAAAAAAAAAAAAAAAAAAGGTAGGAAGAACTGAAAGCAGACAAAAGCGAAGACGGAAGCGAACAGAGAAGCGCCCTCCCTCCCCTTACAGCTTTATCCATTCATATGTGTTTGAATCCCTGCCTTCATTGCACACACTGGATGCCGAGTGACGATCATGACTAGATACTGGTTGGCTGACGAACAAAAAAAAAAAAATACTGGTTGATTGCCGAAAGGGCCAAAACGAAAAAAATGACAACAGAGACCTAATGAGCTAGGCTACCAGAGTGGCCAGGGGCAACTTGCCCAGCCGGGCAACAACCAAGAAAAAAAAATTAAAAAAAAATAAATTTTATTTTGTTCAAAATTGGTAAAGAATTCCGATGTGACCCTGAGGCAAAAGTTGTTCAGTTTTGTTTTGTGCATCACATTGATTTATTTATTTTTTTCAGTTTTTTCCTCTTTTTTATTCCTGGGTCCTTCCCCTGGTCCTTGCATGGCTGGGCCGCCCGGTCAAACAAGGTGTGACCCGGGCAGCCCGGTCAAACAAGGTGTGACCCGGGCAGCCCGGCTGGTAGCCCAGCTAATGAGACAAAAAACAAGAAAATGAAAACAAGTTACTATTTTTAGAAACTTTTGTAGTTCTGAAGTTCAAACCTATTGTCATCCCTTACCGTTTTGTCATTTTCCGTAATCGCTTAGCTTCAGCTTCCTTCTCGTCGTCAGAAAACTCCACCTCCTGGTCAAGCCAAAAACATGTCCCAAAAGGTTCTAGACCAATCAAAAACTGATTAAGACTTTACATAAAACACAACGCTTGCAGTTCTTGTCCCGGCAATGACGAGAACTAAATTTAAATTAGTGCATTTCTGATATACGGATGTGTCAAGTCACACAGCCCCACTCACATCCCCCCAGGGCATTCTGGAATAGCATGGCTATATTCTCTAGCCTCCTTCGCTGCCTACCAAAGGTCGGCTTCGAATGGCCGAGTTCCATACAGAGCGTAGACATGCATTAATCAATACTGCGAAGCCGCCAGAGCTCCGACTCAATAATGCGAAGCCGCCAGAGCTCCAACTCAGCTGCTGAACTTCCAGCGAGAGAGACAGGAAGACCTAGTTTATCATTGGCGCAATATCCTGCAGCGACCTGGCAAGATGCCTTCTCCACACACTGCCCTCGCTTTTCGCTGACATGCTACAAGTGCACACCCATGAGCATTGCGTGGGCTCCATTTTTACCGCATGGCCCCGCCACACCCACCCCCAGCCCCCCCTATTTCATGCACCCAAAGATGGTGCTTTTCAGACTCTCTATGACCATGCCTCCGCTTGGACTTAACCCCCAAACAAATTCCACCGAACATAGGCGAAGGGTCCGAATCTCTCTACTACTGTAAGAGGGTCCAAGTTCCGTTCGATGCAATCAGCTTGGAGCTGCTCACATTGTTGACTGGTTTCAGATTCCATTCTGAATTTCTGAGCTCTCTTTCAACCATAATGCCTTTTCACATCATCCATCACAGACTATGAAAGAGCACAAAAGGGTGGACACTGGGACGGAAGGGGCGATAGACAAAGGGAACGTAGTCGGAGAGAGCAAGCAAGCCCGGCAAGAGACTGACGGAACAGCATGTACACAAAGTAGTCTACTGCTATTATCATTCACAAGCGACGAATCAAAAGGCATGGACGGCCTGAAAGGGCGAAGTGTTCAAGAGACCAAAAAGAGAAAATGCTACTGTGTTTCATCATCAAGCAACATCCTGCTCCAGAATTCACCCAAGCGCCCAAGACTACGGGAGGCCACGGGAGGAAATGTGACAATAGGGCCTCGCTCCACTACACAACACTCTACATGCATTTGGACACTTTATTTGGACCAGATTCAGTCAAAATGCTGGACTCGTCCACATGCACCTGTTTGACAAAGCACCGAAACGCATGTAGAGTGTTGAGTAGTGGAGCGACGGCCATAGTCTACAGCTCATGTCCGCAGTCGCAGCTGCGAGAAGAATTCTGTCCAGACCTCATGCTCCTAGCAGACACAAGGTCGATTCCATCAACATCTCATGGCCATAGCTTGAGAGAGAGAAAACTGAGCGGAAACAGACCAAGACCAATCTCTTTCCCACATCGTGGCCTTCGAATATCCACGAACATACAACCGGAAAAGTCGAATCGTACGCATTCAACAAGCAGGTCACAGCACATTACCCGTTCATATGCAGAGGTTTACACGACTTCAAGCAAATAAAGCAGCTATTATACCAATGCTTGTGAATCGAGTAGGTGGTTTTGGATTCTACACAACGAGTGCAAAGATCAACACCGACAACCAGAATTAACACTGTACGAAGGCACCAATACCCTAGAGGGGCTGCATTGTTACATAACGTGGCTCCAGCCAAGAACCGCACCCGCAGCAAAATAGTTTGTCAGACGCTCGATCCAACAGTGATGCTCTATGCAGAACCTCTAAGCATTGAGACGCTGACAAAACCCTACCCAGCTGAGTTGGTACGCCCACTAAGGGTAGGGTATGCACGTAATATATACGAGCCTGTTACAAGGGATTGGAAGATGGCTTTGGCCGAAGGCAAAGAGAAGAACAAAAACAAAAAGGGGCGGCAGTATTTGCCCACCTGAATATGAAATAACGAAGGAGAAGTTCAATTTGAAATGGGAGTATCCCAGCATGGCACTTGAGAATGGGGACATAAAAAGAAGATGGTGAAAACAGTTATGAGCCACACCCAAAACACCCATTCAAGGATCAGCCAATATGAAAACGACCACAATCAACTTACCTCCTCAGGCAGCTCCTCATCATTGGCTCCAGACGCATCATAACCCTTCTTGTGCTGTAAGAAGCAAACATACCAGATGAGCAAGTTAATCACAAAGGGGAGACTCTCTCTCTCTCTCTCTCTCTCTCTCTCTCTCTCTCTCTCTCTCTCTCTCTCTCTCTCTCTCTCTCTCTCTCTCTCTCTCTCCCCACACACACACACACACACGCACGCGCGTCAAAACCAGCATTTCCCAAATCGACAGAATGCAATGCCCCACAGCGTGACCCAGAAAGGGAATAACATTGAATACACTAGGAGCATTATCCAATGTATGGATTCATGCAACTGACAGAAAATACATCAGCCCATCAGTTCCAAAGCAGGAGAAGCCGACAGCAAGCAGACAAATCACGAAAGAAGCACACAGCCGCTTGGAAACAGCAAGAGATCACCACTTCTTTCTATTTTAATTTACTGTTAATCTTTTACCCTGCTTACAAGAAAAAGGGAGAGATTCATGCAACCATACAAGAAAAGGGAGAAGTCCATCCAACCATACAAGAACAAGGAGGGGTCCATGCAAGGTCCCTGCAACCATACAAGAAAAAGGAAGGGGTCCATGCAACCATACAAGAAAAGGGAAGGGGTCCATGCAACCAAGAGCAAGCGGGCAACAACAGCAGAACGGTTTTATCTATGACTATAAAAAATGTTTGGCAGGTTTCACGTGATGCTGTCCTGGGAGACACCGTGCGACTGTTTGGGCCCAGGCTGTCCCCACAGCCCAGCTACCCCACACTGTATCACCCAGTCCAAGTAGCATCGCCCACCTAACCCACATAGTACCATCCAGTTCACATAGCAAGACCCGCCCCACATAGCACCCCACAGCCTGACCACCCAGCGCACATAGTACCAGCCCGCAAGGCGAGATGTGCTCTTTTCTTGTGTGCATTGTGAGAGTCATGTCTGTGTGCGTATGTCTTTTCAACCACGTAGAAATTCTCTCTTTTCGGGGCGGGGATGGAGATGGGGCTTCCCACAGCACAGCCGACATAGCCTCACCCTGTGCACAAAATAGAGAGAGAGAGAGAGAGAGAGAGAGAGAGAGAGAGAGAGAGAGAGAGAGAATAAGATGCCGAGCTGCTGCCGTGTGGAGGAGATGATCAACAGAGGGGGAGGAAGGAGATGGTATCTGGTGCAAACCACTTGCAAACCACGATGGACCGCCACGGGTGAAGCTGCAGCTCCTACTTGTTGGCTATTAATTTATTAAACGATTGAATGGAAACTAACTTCCAAACAAACCAAATAATACCTTCAAACAGAGCCAAACTTCAGGTAAGCATGCCCCTTGTGTGCCAGGGGCTGTGCACAATTATACAAATTGACATTTGAAAATACACAAAAGACGAGATCAATTCATCAAATACAGAAATATTGCAAACTAGAAACTTTCTTTACAAAAGAAAAAAAGCCTTTAAAAAGGTTCATTAACCCAAGGGTTCACACTTACCAAGGAGGCATCATTAAGTATGAATTTCGCATAATCTTCTACATAAGAAACAGCAGCATCGGGCACAGCCTCCTCTGGCACCTGTTACATCAACAATGCCAGAGGACAGAGCAGTCAATTAAAAGATGCTTGGCAGTAATGACCTTAGCGCGAGTGAGAATTTTCCCTCCCATCCCCAGGAATGACTATGCCTGCCCCATGGCTGAACGGTACACACGCACCAGTTGATGAACAGATCACTAATGAGTCTCAATGGTGTTGAACAAGGCAATACTTTTAGAGACAATGAAACAACACACGATGCTCCCAAGGAACACACAAGCACTCCAACAACCCCACAGCATACCCGCCTCGTCCACTGTTGGGTTTGAACTAGCATGAGTGCCCTCCAGCCCCACACGACAGCAAGGACGACAACGACTCCGGAGCATGCCTGCCTTGGCCACCATTGGGCTCGAACTAGCGTGAGCGCCCTCCGGGACCAATGACAGCAAGAACGACAACAACTCCACAGCACACCCGCCACCACCACCATTGGGGTCAACCTAGCACGAGTGCCCTTCGGCCCCAACGACAGCAAGGATGACGACGACTCCAGAGCACGCCTGCCACAGCCACCATTGGGGTCGAACTCGCACGAGTGCCCTCCGGCCCCGATGACAGCAAGGACGGGAGACCAAGAAAAAAGGGACAACAACGACAGCAGCAACAACACACGTACCAACAAGGCTTCAGGGAAGGTCAAAAAAACGACAGCCAGAACAAGAAGGGGCATACACCAACTCCACAAATGGCAGAGACAAGAGATTTCCTAGGGTTTAGGGTTTAAGCAGGCAGTAGCCAGGGGGCGGACCGAGAGGAAAAAAGCTGGTCTGTTTTGTACCTGTGAGCAGCACAGTGTATTTTCAATACAAAAGTCTGCCGAACAGTTGTCCTTTCCTGTCATTCCTAACCTTTGCCAGCACTCATTTGACCTTACCGGGCTTAACCCTAAATTTTTCCTCGCGCTCTTTCTAGTCCTCAGAAAAAAAGTTTCTACTGACTTCAGAAAAGGGGGAAAAGACAATCCACTCGCACCAAGGGATATGACCTTTTTCCTCAAATTCTCTTGAACCAGCAGCACCTCTGAGCCTCATTTTGGCGCCCCAGGTTCATGCTGCACGCCAGACAAAAAACGAGCTGGTGCGGTGCCAATTTTTTTCCCTTTTGGCGGTCCCCGCCAGCCAAAGAGCTCCAGTAGGCCCGAGCCCCCGAGAATTGCGGTTGTAAACAAATGCAAATCTGAACAAAATACTGGTGGTTTAAAGTTCTTTCTAACGGCGAAGATTTCAACCGGCCAATTTTTCGGACTTCAAAAGGTAATTTCCTAAACTGGCAACCATGGAAAAAGAATAGTGGCACTTACATCAACCTTAACTCGATACCTTTCTTGGCCCTTCGGCTAAAAATAGCTCGATCCAGTGTAGTATCTATTCTGATCAGTTTAATATGTGATCCGTGATCCATCCGACATCAATCTTAATTGTCGGAAAGTGGGTGCAGTTTAGGTCCAGAGAAAGGATTCATATAGTGGCGCATGTGTCTGACGGACTCTAGACCCTTAGCTCCCAGAAGATGAGATGACTCTGTGTTTTAATAGACGCGATTCCTTACCTCTGCCGCACTATTAAACCGCACCGAATACAAGGGAGCAACCACAGGGCCAAAAATCTCATCCACCTGCAAAAAAAAAGTTCCCAGGCAGCACGAACAAGACACACAGTTAGATCTGGAAGAGCTCAAACTTAACGACCACAACTGCCACAACAACAGACCTGGACACTCATGAACTGTTGACATGCAGAGCTGAGTTCGGACCCGATTGGAAGTATTCAAGACTTCTGAATTACCCGGGCCAGTCTGCTCGATTATGATAACTCAAAGCCGCTAAAGGTTGTTATCAAGGCAGAAATAGTTCAAAAAAAAAAAAAAACCGTACTTCTGCCTTGGTAACAGCCTCTAAAGAGAATAGTGTCGTGAATACAGCTGTCCCCCATCACGAGGACGAGAAAGCTTTATATATATCGTCTATATCAAGGCAGAAATAGTTTAAAAAGAAAAGAAAAGAAAAAACGTATTTCTGCCTTGGTAACAGCCTCTAAAGAGAATAGTGTCATGAATACAGCTGTCCCCCATATGAGGACGAGAAAGCTTTTTAAATTATATATAAAACAAAATCTCTAAGATGTGTTACCAGGGTCATCCGGCCGCTGACCCAGGTAGACCTGCACGGGGGGTGACCCGCCCAGGGCAGTCGTTTCTTTTCTTCTTTTTTTTTTTGGCAGTGGGGCAACTTTGCGCCCACTGAGATGTGCCCAAATCCGGCCTTATCTTTGAATTTGCTGGTCTCACCAAAGGGTGTCTACAGGGTATAAGCGAGGTTCAAAAGGGGTCGAAGGGGCTTATAGAGGGGCTTAGAGGGGCTTAAAGGGGTATGATATAATTTAGTATTTTGTTTTTATTTTCTGTTTTGGATTCAATAACAGGTGACCCTCAGCCAAAAGTTGTTTGATTTGTAATTCTACGTGATATAGTTTTCTCTTAAGATTTTTTTTCCCGTCTTTTTCTTTTTTTTTGCGCTGGGACTGACTGGGCCCTTGACCGGACTTTGCCCGGACCTCGGCCGGCCGGGCCACCAGGGCCAACCTGAGGCAACCCAGGCCGCCCGGCTGGTAACGCAGCCTCTAAGCTATTACAAAGGCAATGGTGGACAAAAGATGAGGGTGTGCGTGCACTGGCACTATCTAAAATGTATCTGACCGCGTTTATGGGCAAACCTGGATGCATCTGGACACAATTTCGTCCAGGAACAAGCAAAAGAGGTCCCAGTGTGAGTATGCCCTGCGGTTTCATAGGAAACTGAAGCAAACCCTGTCAAGCACAGATGAAGTTATAACAAACTCAAAAGTCAAAATCCTGTTAAAAAAACACAGGTACCCAACTCTACATAGCAAGAAACACTCCTGGAGGGGTATCGTAGGAGGAACACCCCCAAAGGCACTGAACAAAAAGTTATATAGAACCCTCTACCGAAGCAGGATGACCCCTAAAGGCCCTCTCTGCTGTCCAAATGCAGCATCTTTGAAGGGAACATCTACTTTCTGAGGATTCAATAGAATCCAACTACCTCGGTCTATTGACCACTCAGAAAATTTACCACATTTAAGAAAACTCACGTCTACCTAGATTGATCGGGAAGGAAAATGTGGAAGTCGAGAGTAAGGCCGCCAACTTTATAAGTGCAGTATGATGGTTTGGCGGCTTCAGTCTTTAGATGACTACCGTCTTCCCCCGGATAGAACATACGGTCATTATCACTGTATCTGAACAGAAAGTTGCCCCACATACAGGCATAATCACGGTACGTTCTATTCGGGGGAAGACCGTATTCTTCTGAATCTCACTGTCTCCGACTAGCATAAACCTCATCTGCATTCCACCTCACCTAAATGCAGATAAGCTTAATGCCAGAGGCTGGCAATGAATGAGCCTCTGGCACAGTCAAACAAAACCACCAGTACTTCCAAGGCACTTTTCTCCGATAGCTGCGCGCCAAAAAAAGTTGAACAAGCACCACTTTTTTTTGGCTGGCGCCGCACCGGTCATTTGCTCTGGTACCCGAGCCCCAAAAGACGCAGCGCGTTCACATGAAGGGGCCGCAGCCGATGTATGGACCAAGTACTGGTGGTTTAAGGCTCTGCAGCTTAGCTACAAGAGATTCATTTTTGAAGTGTAGCAAGTGCTAGCCTGAAACATTCAAATGGAGTTCGCAGGGTGAGGACAAAGGAATTCCACTCTAATCATTAAGAGGGGACCGCAGACAGCAGTTGCGCAGAAGAACCAAGGGAGATCACGCAGAGCTTGGCATTGTGTGTCTCTCTTCTTTTTTAAGCCGAGGGAACATGTTGTTATGCGTCTGTTTGTTCCTTAGCAGACGCAACTTGTCGTTATGTCCCTGTTATTTTTTTGTTAAGTCTTCAAGGTACGGATTGGGGGTCTGCTGTTGTTGACCACCCTGCAGATCTTTAGCGAGGAATTGGCAAAGCAAGACGTATTCTCGAACATTAAAATCTTGATGCAATAATTAATTCTCCATAATAATAAATTGATTCAAGAGCTGAACTGATAGACCGTAGCATTTTGACTGCACTCACAATGAGATTTAAAAGCAGCAAAAGAGTAAGAGAGGCCAAGCCAACGTGCCGTCCGTGATGACAACCTACCAATCCAAGACACTTGCGCCTCGCCGACAACCACAAAACCGTTCCGTCGTCCAGTGCCCTCTCCTTTCCTGTTCCCTGGACCACCACAATTGCATCCATGACCTGCAAAACGCCACCATGTGCGCAAGAAGCCCGTACAATGTGAATGAACTCAATCAAGTCCAAACTTCTCCAAGAGCAATGTGATCCGAACGGCTTGAAGCACATCAATCATCAATAGAAGCAGCAAAGGTTAACGCACAAGGACGCAAATGATGTTGCCATCCAATGCGAATGTACAATGAACTCTCCATTGTATGGCTGTCGCACGACAATATTCTCTTGCAGACAAAGAATAAACGATGGAGGCATACTTACGAGGACTTCAAGCTCCTGGCATTTAGCTAGATACAAATTGGTGGTGGGAGAAGAAAAAGACGACGAAGAAGAAGTAATAAGAAAGAGAAAAGAAGAACAAAGAAAAACAAAGAAGAAAAACAAGAAAAAGGAAGCAAGAGAGAGAAAAGAAGAAGANAAAGAAAAACAAAGAAGAAAAACAAGAAAAAGGAAGCAAGAGAGAGAAAAGAAGAAGAAGAGGTAAAAAAGAGGAACAAAGAAGACAAACAAGAAGACGGAAGCAAGGAAGAGAAAAGAAGAAGAAGAAGAACAAGAAGAATGGTGTTAGAAGAAAAAGAGAAAGGCAAGAAGAACAAGAACAAGAACAAGAACAAGAACAAGAACAAACAAGAAGAATGGTGTTAGTAGAAGAAGAGAGAGGCAAGAAGAAGAAGAAGAAGAAGAAGAAGAAGAAGAAGAAGAAGAATGAAAGAAAGAAAGAAGTGCAATGGCGCCCATTCAATAGCTCCAACAACAGAACGGTGTTTGGCAGTGCAAGTGACGTTTGATCTATAAAGGACTCGGTGAAGGGGGACGATGCTTACTGAAGAAATAACGCCCACTTCTCGAAGCTCCTGATGAGGCAGTAGCTCTGCTTCAACTTTTGGCACAGGAGGTAGCACCTGAAACACAGGAGAAAATCAGATTAAGGAAACAAAAAGAGAGGAGAGGAGAGGCGAAAGGGAAAACGAAAAACATCAGCTATGCCCTTTCCAAATGCATAACCCCACAGAAATGGAAGAACAAGTACATCGTACGAGTACTCGCACCTACACACACAAGGAAAGAGAAAGCGGTGTGTGCAAGGAACCTGACTGTTCATAGCTTGCTGGAGTGTATCTCATTGCATGCATAGATGTCATCATACAGATAGAGAAACTTCACACGAAGCCAAATCGAGATGAGATGAGAACCAGATAGTGCAGCCCATATTGCTATGCCCTTTCTTCCCCCGAATACAACGTGCGGTCATTCATTATAGCTGTACTTGGGGTATCTTTCAGTCTAAATGCAGCTATAATGACCGTACGTTGTATTCGGGGGAACAAGGTAGCACTACTCCTAAGCCTATACAGGAGACCCCTGGGAGCACAGCTACCCTAAATCACAAGAACTATGTAAGTCTCTTGCTGGATCAATCTGTGAAAGATCTCCTAGGTAGTCAGGTGTTTCTTTTTCTTTTTTTGGGTTAAATCATCATTTCAATAGCGATATGTTTCTTTTTTTTTTTTTTTTACTAGTCAGGTGTTTCAGACGTCCCCACAAATGACTGAACAGGTGTGTCTTTGGTTATATTCATATCAGACCCTTCATGTCAGACCACAGGCAGGTAATTCGTTTGGGGAAATAGAGGAGGGGGGGGGGGTTGAAGAGGCGGGTTTTTTGTTAGATTCATGTCAGTCCCTTCATGTCAGACCACAGTCAGGTAATTCGTTTGTGGTGGGGGAAGAAAGGGGGGAGGGGGACGTCAGGAGGGAGGGGGCGCAATGGCATTACCTCTGCTTTGGATCCCCTTTTTGTTTGGTTCGGTTGTTTGAATATTGCACAATTGTCCTTCGGGATATTCGTTAAAATTGCAACGATACAGAGAAAGAAGATAACCATGGCCCATGGTTACAGCAAGCATGACAAGCGTAAATAGAGAAACGTCCCAAGTTCAAAAAAAAAAGAAAAAAAAAAGCATAATGGGACAATGAATGGGCCCGGTTCTCAGCACATGCTGCTCACCACGTATCGATTCGAAAGCCTTCTCAGACGGTGCAGGGCCCTGTACCGCCCAGGGTCCAAGTCCCACTTGTCCCAATTAGTGATTTGTGACCGTTGATTTTCATCATGTACGGTGAGGAATCCAGCATTCGGTTAAGTGTCACTTGGCCCCATGGATCCCACGTGGGAGGTTGTTCAAGACCAAAATAGAAATCCCTGGGCCCAAGTGGCACTTACCGCACATGTGACCCTTGATTTTCACCATGTATGGCGGACGGACACGTGGGAGGTTGTTCAAGAACACAATTTTATTTCTCGAAAAGGGAGGTAATAACTGTTCTTCTACCAGCTGGCCTACTCGTCTTCACTCGAATAGAAGAACGCCCGGTAATTATCGCCGTATCTGGGCTAAAAGTTGTGCCAAATACAGATATAATGACCGGGCGTTGTATTCGGGTAAAGACCCGGTAGCTTAGTTCGTACACCCCTGAACTGCATTGTTGAAAAACAGACCCGAGTTCGAACTCCACTAGAAGCAGATGAGTGAAATAGTAAATACTAGAATTCCAGGGTGTACCTAGCTCAGTTGGTATATCCCTGAACTGACCCAAGTTCGAACTCCACTAGAAGCAGATGAGTGAAAAACAGACTCGAGTTCGAACTCCACTAGAAGCAGATGAGTGAAATAGCAAATACTAGAATTCTGAATCACCTAGAGCTGGTCAATCAATTCGATGATGATATCTCAAGGTAATTCAGAATTCTGAATTACCTCAAGGTCTCCCTGTTAAAATGAAGAGGGAAAAAAACTGTTCGTCGCGGGGCATCGGTCAAAACTGGAACGATACAGAGAAGGATGATTAACTAGCATGGCTCGTGGGCCAGGATGATGACAGGCGAAGAAAAATAAAGGGAAAAGAATAGGGGGAAACCTGCCAAGTGACACACGGATGACATACAAAGAAAGAGTCCAAAAAAAAAAAAAAAAAAAAAAAAGGAGTCCAAAAAGACAGGCTAAGAGTAACAAGATTAAAATTAGCTTTTTTGTAATTCGAAAATTAAAAATAATAATCGTAAGAAATCATTTGCAATTTGCAACAGATCCCCATAACGTGAGATATATGCCCAAAAAAATGTTCCTCAAGTATGTGGGTAGAGAGCGGAATCCCCTTTTGGGCCGAATTCTTTGTGTTATGCCCCTGTCAGGCCGGTGCGCAAATTTGCAATCTGGACCTCGCCGGTTGGGCCTGGGCAGTATGCAGGGCATTTTGCAAGTTCGACGGTACGCGGCAGGGGTATTTTGCAAAGATGGGGGGTGCAAGCGACGAAGGGGCATTTTGAAGCTTTTTTTTGGTCAGAGGGGTATTCCGCTCTATTCACGTCTTTTAGGGGCATTTTCGCAAATATCTCAATTTATATTAAAAAAGAAGTGATTTTTTTTTTCACTTTTTTTTTTCAAAAATAGGCCAAGCGCGATTCCTTATCTCACCCAGTCTATGTGGCTGAATGGTACACAAATGGAACTGTTAAGAAAGCATAAGATCACGAACTCAAATCCTTCGATTGGAGTTAGATCAATATATCACAACCTGGAACAAGGAATGACCTGGGGCCGATCAGTTTGATGATGATAGCTTAAGCCCGTTGGCCCTACTATTTAAACTGTAAAAAAAAAAAGATGGTGTGGCGAGGGCAGGGGACAACGAAAGGAGGGAGGGAGGGAGGGAGGGAGGGAGGAGGAAAAGGCATTCCTTGTTCTAGTTGCGGCTAGCAGAAAGAAAAGGGATCCCACTCACTGCAAGCTCATTCTTAGTGCGAGGTGGTCCAACCACCGCTGTACCCGTTGCATCGTCCTCATCTTCAGACATGTGTTTGACTCCATCCCCTCTTCTATTTTTCAGCCCCGCTACAAAGTCGTCTAGCTTGTCCAGATCTATGCTTTCCGCATCATCATCCGTCTTGTCGCCATCGCCATTCTCCTCCTCTTTCTCGTCTTCAAGAACCTTCTCCGCATCGCTGTCGAAAACGAACTCCGCATTCTCTCCTCTTTCTACCTCCATCTCATCGTTGCTGGTCTTCTCCTCACTATCGCCATCACTATCACTATCACTGTCACTATCACTATCACTGCTGCTGCTACTTGTCCCACTCTCATCATCGCTGCTTGCCCCACTCTCATCATCGTCAGCGTCATCGCCGCCATCGCCGCCGCCGCCGCTAATCGACGCACCATTCTCATCGCCATTCAAAAATGAAGTGCCAGAAGACGTCTTCTCCGTGCCCTCTGCTCCTGCCACGTGTCCCCTACTACCACGTTTGCCCAGACGATTGCACGGTCGGTCTCCTGATGATTGCCCTTCTCCTCCCTCCTCCTCCCTCTCTCTTGACTCCAGCTGCTGACACGTGTCCAGCTTAGACTCTCTCTTCTCCACTTGCTGCTGTCCATTCTCTTGGAAAGTTCCTTGACGTCCTCCGCTAAACGTCTGAAATTCCTCTTCTACTTTTACCCGTCCTAATCCTCCTCCTCCTCCCAAATGGACCCCCCCCCGGGCTGACCCCCCCCCCCCCCCAACACTTCCTGCTAATCGACCGACAGGCGTCACTCCTCCTCCCAAACCATTCGGCTTATCACCCTTCGCCCCACTTTCCCCATCCTTGCTCCCAATTGCCGGCGCCGCCATATCCGCCTCCTTCTTTGGCAAGCTGACGCCTCCTCCCCCGGCTATGGCTGCCACGTGACTCCCAGCTGCTGCTGCTGCCCTTGGCCCGCCGACACCCGCCGATACCGCTCGGTTCTCTCCGAGCGTGCTCGACGCCGGTGCAGAGGACGGCCCTGGCGGCGGCGCCGCCGCCGCCGCCGGCACCGCATGCGAGGCATCCCTCCTCACTCTGCTATAGAAGAACAGCACAGGCTCCTCCTCCTCCTCTTCTTTCGAGGCGGCCGCAACGGACATCTTGACTTCCTCCTCTTCCTTCACATCGGTCGGTTCCGGGAAACGGGACAAGGGGGAGAAATCTAACAGAGATTGACAATCTGCGGACCTGTCACGGGGATCGGACGCCGCCGCCGCCGCCGCCCCCACAACCACAATCTCCGCAGCTGACGCTCCATCGCCTCCTACCTCTCCTCCTAAACCTCCTCCTCCTCCTCCTCCTCCTCCTCCCCTCGGATCACTACTGAGTTCACCTCCAGCCATCCCTCTATCATCAACAACCATAGAATCACACTGAACCTCCAGATGTCCATGTACTTGTCGATCCCGCTCGCGCATTACCGCCGCCGAGCCCTCTTCCTTCTTCCTCGCACTACCACTACTTTCTGGACCCTTCATCTCCACGACATCATCCCCACCGTCATCGATCTCGTTCATCCGACGATCCATGGAAGTATTCGCTAAGCCAGTCATCATGTCCAACTCCTCTAGATCTTGGCAAACAGGAGGATCCTCCCTCGTCCTTGCTGCACTCTCGGTCCTCATCAAAATCATATTCACTCCAGCATCCTTCTCTGATCGAAGTCCATCGACAACCCCCACACCCACATCCCCTGCTTGAGCACTACCGGTAGGATCTTCCGCAGCTCTCGTCGACGGCAGTAATTCCGCCCCTGTTCCACATGCCCCTACTTCATCCCCTCTTCCTTCTCTCACTCCTCCTCGCCGACCTTCCTCCTCCATCTCCATCTCTACCGCGGCCGCGGCACACCCCACCTCTCTCATCCTACTACGGGTAGCCTCAATCACGTCGGAATTGCCTTCCACCAGTTGTCTCTCGAGCCGATCCTCATTCGAAAGCGTGGCGGCGGCGGCATCTACCATGGCCATGGCGCCGTCGTCTGCCCTGACCTTGTTCTCCTCGGTATTGCCGAACGCCGCCACGTCCGGGTCGATCAAAAACGCATCGCCAAACAACATGTCAGCCGTAGATTCGACCTCTGACATGCGCTGCGTGTCTGCGAACAACGCGTCCATCGCCTGCGACGCCTCGGCGAACACATGTTCGTGCTCCTCCTCCTTTTCGCCCTTCTCTCCCGATGGGGCTATGGAAGCAACGCTCCCACCACCTCCTCCTTTCTCCATCGCCGAGAGCCGCTCGCTCGAGCACAAACACTCAACGATCGACCACCAGCTCAGCTAAGCTTAGCTCAGAACGGCTCACCTCAGCTCAGCTCATGGTTGCCTTCGTCCTCGTGCGACCGGCCTCACATTCCCCCTCAGGCAAACGAAGTCAAATCACAATGGCCTCACTCTACCCTCATTTCACACCCCCAAACCGATACCCTCAAACTGCACACTTGCGTTAGCCGGGCGTACCTAGCCACCCGCACAGCCGCTTTACGCAAGAACGCGAGAGAGCGTGTTTTTGTTTCTTTCTTTTTTTTAAGGGAGGGGGATGGAGCGTTTTAGGGCCTAGTCGCATCCCTTTTGTAGGGAGGCGGACGGTTTTAAGGCCTTCCGTCTCCCCCGAACATGACGCATGTGCATTGTAAAAGAATACAACGTATAGATTGCTAATATTCAAGTACAACACGTAGGAGTTCTATCCGAGAAGCCCTTACATTCGAAGACAACACATCTGGGCTATTTTCGAGTCATCGTTTTTTTGTGAAACTCAAATACAACAGGTGCGTTAGGGGGAAGACCGTATTTGCAACCCTCACCATCCGCAAAGATTCTGGATGCATCTTGACAGAATGTGCCCAAATGCACTCAAAATCTTTGTGAGTGGTGCAGCAACTAAACCCTTCGGCCGCGTAGAAGCCGAGATGGCTGGGGGAAGGGGGGGACAAGGCCAGAAACAGAAGGCGAAAAGAAACAAATGCCCAAAAAAATTGACTAAAGACAAGCCCACAAGAAAAAAGGTTGAGTCCTTACATGATATCCAACTGACAAAAGATCAGCTATAGTTGCGCACGTTGAAGCGATGAGTTATGAATGGCACCAAACTGACAGGTTGCAGCCGCCAAAATAAAAAGCTCATAAAGGGAGACTTGTGAGCTTTGTTGTTAATATTCAATCATATGTGCTTTTTTGGTAGTAAATTGAAAATATATTATGATGTGTCTTGATGTCGACTAGGAAATCTTTGAGTCCACCTCAATATTTAACTCCTTGAACAAAATGGTATTTTACCCCAAACAAATCTTTGAGTATACCTCCTTCAAAACTGTAACAATATAGTGTTTTTGTAAATAATGGTTTTCTCTCACAATATACACAATAACCTGATTTCAAGTGGATAATCTCACTTTAGTTATTCGTATAAAAGTAGGCTGATTGATATCACCTGATTTATTTATGGCGCCACACGGACTATGAAATTTGCCTAAGTTTTTCACCCATTGAATGTGTGACAAATCTTTGAGTCCACCTCCTTTCAAAATTGTAATAAAATACTATTTTTGTAAATAATGGATTTATCTCATAATATACACAATCTCACTTTCGTTATTTATGCAAAGTTAGGTCGATTGATATCACATGATAATATGAGGCAATATTATCTTTGAGTCTACCTCCTTCAAAATTGTAACAAGAGTTATGGATTTGCCCCACAATATACAGAATCTCATTTTCGTTATTTCTGTAAAGTTAGGTCGATTGATAGATGGACTGCATAGTTAGCAGTTCAGGCATTGTGGTACATGGTCGAGGGACTATTTCACATAAATATTTATTTGGTAATGGTTGTTGTCATCCTACTAAAGTTCGTACTAATATCAATATGGTCATACTTTCATGCAAGTTCGTTGGCATTTGGGTTTGGGCGAACCCTTTAACATGAACGTCCGAATGTTTGGGACCCCCACAGCTAAGTCTGGCCCGAGCGTGATTTTTTTTTTTTAAAAATGTATTATGGACAAATGGGTTTTCATACTGCACATTTTTCATTAAAAAAATGGGGCAGGAAGGCAGTTTGCATGTTGAACAGAAGAAACTCCTCCCACCATGTATATGTGTATAAGACTGTGTGTGTATGTGAGACTGTGTGCATGTGTTTAAGTGTGTGTGTGTGCGTGCGAGGTTGGACGACCCCCTGCCAACCAATAAATCGATCAATCAATCAATCAATCAAATAAGCAAGCAAGCTTACGTTGAAGAGAAAAAAATGTGAATGTGCGTGCCTATGTGTAAGTGTGTGTATACATGCGTGTGAGTATGTGTGTCTATGCATGTGTGTGAATATGTGTGTACATGTGTGTGTATGTGCGTGTATGTATGTGTGTGTATGTGTGTTTGTATGTTTGTGTGTATGTGTGCGTGTGTGTGTATGTGTGTGTATGTGCGTGTGTGTGTGCGTGCGTAAGGAGTGAGGCAACCCTCCCAATCAATCAATCAACCAATAATATTATATTAAAAAGTTAACAGAAAAAAAAAAAACATTGATGATTGGTTGATTGGTTAGAGGGGAGCTCGCAGGGGACGGGCGAATCCCACCTCAACCAATCATTCATCCATCAATCAGTCAATCAACTAATCAACCAATCAATAATATTATTTTGAAAAGTAAAAAAAAAAATGGACATTGATTGATTGATTGATCGGTTGGAGGAAGGTTTGTGGGTAGGGGCAATTCCAACCAATCAACTGATTGATCAATCAATCAATCAATCAATCAATCAAGGCAGGGAGGTTTTAAAGTTTCTTAACCCCCTATTCTCTATGAATTACAAAATTCAACGAAAATTTAGAGGTAGGTGCTCTACGTGGTGTTTTATTTACTATTAAAAAAAAAAAAAAAAAAAAAAAAAATTGGCGAACCCCGAACCGTTAGTCGCACGAGATACGAACCCTTGAATGTCTGAACATTTGAGGTGACAACCCTGCTTTCATGAAAATAAAATTCAATAGTTTATAATTTTGTCAGTGTGCGTTTAGATGACGACATAATCATCATAAAACTTGTACGTAAAAAATATTTTATCTTTGTTTGTCAAGCGGAATGAGTATCGTGGTGGTCTCATAAGCGCTTGATTTGTAGGACACTACTGGTTACTCTCCTCGTTGTTCATAAAAGGGTTGATCAAGATCTTTAGGGTTTCGCAAAACTATAGTTAAATAAAAGGTTGAAATAAAAATAAAAAAAAAATAATTTCATTAAAGGAATACAAAAATTTAAGAGTATAAAGAGGAAGAAAGTTAATTATATGTTAAAGTAGCGACAAAAAATCAACAAGGTTTTTAGGGTTTTGCAAAGGTGATGTGCGTGAAGACATAAACTATAAATAACTTTATTGAGAACGCGTTTCAGAATACGAGATAAATATATGTGAGACAACGACTATGACATTGAGTGGCAAGGTTTTTAGCTACATTACTATTAGTAACTCACAACTGCATACAAAATTACAAACACATATTTATCAAGATTTATAATACATATAAAAAATATATATATAATTAAAAAAATAAAGTTAAATAATGCTATTATAATAAATTATTTTTGTATTGTTTGTCTAAACTACCAGAGTGACTCAGTACCACTTGCTCGTCCGGGACGAAAAAAAATAAATATACAGGGTAACTGACGTTTGGGACAAGTCGAACGCCCGAACCCAAACGCCCGAACGTATGAGACCCCGTGGCGATGCGTTCGGCCGTTCGAGCCGAACGCAGACAAAAAAAAATAAAATAAATCAAACCCATATGAAAAAATGATATGTTATGAAGAAAAATAAATTAAACAAGATTTTCTTGAGAATTACATCAAAATTCCTTACCAAATTTGAAATAAAAATACAATACAAACAACAAACACTAATAAAAAAAAATAAAAAAATAGTGAGTGCGCGAGCACGTTTTCGACATCGCCATCTTTGGCGATTTTTTATTTTTTTTGGCATAGCTAAATGCCCTGAAAATTTACAGATGTGTACTTCACATAATGAAAAACCCACAAAAATGTTTAAAAAAATAATAAAATTGTTTAGACCCCAAACTAAAGTGAAAACAAAAAGTAAAAAGTAAAACAAAACGTGGGCGAGCACGCTTTGACACCGCCATCTTTGGCGATTTTTAATTCTTATTTAGCTGACCCAAATGACTTGAAAATGTATAGGAATGTACCTCACGTCATAAAGAACTAAAAAAAAAAAAAATCAGAAACAAAAAAGTATTCATAGGCCCCGAAATAATTTTTGGCGGGGGCTGAACGCCGTCGAGTTCGGACCCCGTACGGGATCCCGAACGCCCGTACGTACGGAGGTCTGCCCGGGGACCTCGGTACGTACGGGCTGGTGTACGGGCGTTCGGGGTCCCATA